CTGTCCTGTTGACTTCTTCAGTATTACTGTAGTCTTCTGTTTATATCTCCCAGTGAGTTTCATATTATGAATGTTCTCAGCCCAATCACAAAGACTAACATCACAAAACAACACCAAATGCTGATAAAGATGTAGAGAAAGAGAAAAATTGATACACAGCTGGCAATAACTTAAATTAGTGCCTCTACTATGGAAATCAAAATCTATTACACGATCCAGTTATGTCACCCTTGGGTATATATCCACAGGGATCTAAGTCAGTGTATCACAGAGGTATTTGCATATTGATGTTTATTGCTACACTGTTCACAATAACTAGGATATGAAGTCAGTCTATGTTCAGTCAATAGATGAACAGAAAAGGACAATATGGTAGTACTTTATCAGAATCCCCTCAACATGGACTGTGTTCACACCAAAACTGTGAAAAAAAAATGGCTGGATCATCACTGGGAAGTGCTATGCAGCCTGGGCATGCCTACAAGTGCATGTGTGAAGAGATCATAGTTGTCTTCAGCAAGAAGCTACTCAGTGAGATAGGAGACATGCCACACATCCACAGCAAGATTGCAGGTGTGTTGCACATCCACAGCAAGACACCAGGTATGCCACACATCCACAGCAAAATAGGAGGTGTGCCACACATCCACAGCAAAATAGCAGGTATGTCCTGCATTCACAGCAAGAAACCAGGTGTGTCACACATCCACAGCAAGATTGCAGGTGTTTCAGGAAGAAAAATAGTTTGGGTCTCTATGGACTCTAATGACAGCTACCAGAACTGGAATTTGGTGCTTCTTGGAGTTTCTGAGAAATGCCCAGAGACAGGAGACTATCATACCTTCTGTCTTTAAACTCACTGAGATTGCAATGCATTGAGGGTTAAAGGAAGAGTTAAGAAAAGAACCTAGATTACAGATACATTCATATGTGTTCTTTCTAATCTTCACAACAGCCCTTGCATGGTGGTTTTATTATCTCAGGAAAATGAGGCTCTGGGCATGCCTAACCCAAGAATGCAGTGTGGGAGGAATGAGTGGGGCTGAAGTCCATGTCTGTGAATCTCAGATGCCGAAGTTCATTCTGCCATGTCCCATTGTATCCTTTAGTGAAATGTGTGTGTGTGTGTGTGTGTGTGTGTGTGTCTGTGTCTGTGTGAGTGTGAGTATATCTGTGTGTGTGTGTCTGCCTGTGTCTGTGTGTATGTATGTATGTGTTTGCTTGCAATATCCTCCCATTCTCCCCAAAAGGGAAGGCTTTTCTTCCACATAACAGCTAGATTGGAGGTAAGTAGGAGAAGAATAGAGTGATAACTATAAGAGTCAGAGGAAACCTTCATCTAACAGACACTGAGGTTTCACTTCCTTATCTATGGACTTACCATGTCCATATTCATTTCTTTGTTCCCCCTTCAGCTAAATTTCCTTCCTATTAAAACAAAACTCTAGACTTTGGGGTGAGATGGCTGATTAGAAGCTTCTGTTGTGTGACTTGCACAGACCACATCATGAAGAAAGAGAGATGATAGGGTCTCTGCAGAGATGATAGGGCCTCTGCAAAGCATGGAGAAGCAGAAAGGCTACACAGAGAAGGTAGAAAACACGCTTGCCTATAGCTCTGACTCCCTGGCAAGGGCAATAAGGACTGAATGAGTATTGCATTATGAGATCATCATTAGCCTCTCAGGATCAGGGACAAAGTGTTATGGTTTGGTTTCTTCACAGCTTCGTGTATTTGAACAGATGGTCCCCCAACTTTAGGGGGAGAGCTTAGTTAAATAAGAGGGTCAGTGAGGGTGGGCCTTTAAAGATGTGTGGTTCAGGTATGGTGATGGTCTGGCTTTTGTTGGTGATTTTGTTTTGTTTTGCTTTGTTTTGTTTTGAGACAGTCCCATGTACCCCAGGCTGGCTTCAACTCCATGTGAAACTGTGACTTTGAAATTCTGGTACTCCTGCCTCTGCATCCCAAGTGCTGAGATTATTACCAGTGTTGATCATCACACCTATCTCATGTAGTTCTCACAAGAAAAAGTATAGATGGCCAAAGAATAGATTTTTTTTAATGTCCAAATATTCTTAGTCACAAAGGTAATTCAAATCAAAACAATGCTGAGATTACATCCCATTTTAATCAGAATCATCATCAAGAAGACAAGAGTGGAGGGAAAAGAATGTAGGAGAAAGGAAACCACGTACTTCTGCCAGAAATGTAAACTAGTCCAGCCGCTATGGAAATCACAATATAGGGTCCTCAGGAAATAGACTAGAATCATCACATAATCTTCTTAAACCACTCATGGGTATACACCTGAAGGAGTAGAAGTTAACATATAAAAAGATTGTCAGTGATGGCAGCTCCACATGGTCACCCTCGCCAGCTTGAGGCATTCTCCTAGATTTTTAAGAAACTCAACTCAGGCCAAATTGGGATTCATGGCTGTGACACTGAAGAAAATTTCAAGATTAGCCAGTATAGTGAAGCAAAGTCAAAAATTTGTTCAATGATAATTTTAATGTAGGCTTATGGTTATGAGAATGGGATGTGCTCAGAAGAAATGATGCATGCCCAGGTTGGAGTATGTGCTTCCCAAGAGAGAACAGTGGAATGTAAGATGCACCTGAGTATATGGGCTCCTCAAGGGAGAATGAGCAATTGTCTTACACACACACACACACACACACACACACACACACACACACACACACACACACACACACCTCTAGTGACTTTTGAGCTACATCTCAAAATGTTATTAGGACTCCCCTTCCCTTTTTTTCTCTTTGACAAAAGAGAAGCATGATGTGGCTCCAGAGATGTCTTACATAAAATAAAACCAGAAATCACTAGGGCTGAAAGAGGGCTTTTGTAACATGTCATTTCCCTGCAAAGGGCTTTCAGGAGAGACTCCTAGAAAATCCACAGGATTATGGAAGGGAGATGGCCTTAGGCGGTTTGGTAATTTTGCTTTGTGACTGGCAAAAGCTTCCACTGAGTTCCCAGCTGACAGGTTTCTTCTTTCCCACTTCTAATGACACGAAGCCTTGGGGATACCTATACACCCATGCCCATTGCTTGACTATACAAGATAGCCAAGTTATGGGCTTGGTCTAGGTACCCATTAGAGTATGAATGGATGAAAAGTGTGGCATGTATACACATTGGAGTATTATTTGGCCATGAGGAAGGGTAAAATTAAGACCTTTGCAGGAAAATGAATGAACTGGAGATCACCATATTAAGTAAAATAACTAGGCTTAGAAAGACAAATACTGCATTTTTTTCTCCCGTGGTACAATCTAGCTTACAAACAAAACAAGAGACTTGAAAGTAGAACCAGGAATATCTGGGGGAATGTGGAACTGCTGTGAGGGGGAGGGAGGCAAGAGATAACAAGATTTTATATGTGTTGGGAAATGTCAAAATGAAACTCATTTTATAAAATGATACATAGTCCTAATAAAACATAAGCCCAAATTCCACTAAAGCCTGTCTTACCCACTTTCCTCTCCTCTCAGACTTCATTTCTTCCACTCATTCTTTCTTGAGCTATAAGTGTTTGTTTTTTCCCCTTGCCTATCGCTCTGCCAACAACAAATGCTTTCTTGTCTTTCTCATGGAACCCACCATGTTAAACACAAATATCCCTTTCAATTCAAGGCCAGTGAACTCTCCACTCTGCTGTTATTCATCCTTCTCAGAAATGTAGATTTTACTTCCTCACACTCCAATAATTTCTAATTTCATTCTTGGCCATTTCCACCTCCATTTCACTACAGTCATTAATGGCTCCCCTGACGTTAGTCTAAGTTTAAGCCTCAGACACCTATTAAAACTTCTTAAATTGTCAGCAGGTGGTGGTGCACGCCTTTAATCTTAGCATTGAGGAGGCAGAGGCAGCCAGATCTCTGAATTTGGGGCCAGCATGGTCTACAGAGTTCCGGGATAACCAGGGCTACATAGAGAAATCCTATCTCAAAACAACAACAACAACAATAAAAAGGGTTCCTACGTGTTTAGTGCAAAGAATAACCACCTAGTGAATGTCTTTATCATCACGGTAGGAATGGACATGGCCAACTGTCCCCACCCCCTGACCAGAGGTCCTATGGTATTCCCCAGCCATTGTTTCCTCCTTCCTCCCTAAAAGACAGACCGTCCTGACTGCCCATTTATATTTGGGCAAATATAACAAAAACATCGTATTTGTACAGTATGGGCATTATATTGCACACAACAGGGGCTTATTTACTTTTATTGCTGCATAATACACAATTGTACACTTTTGCCATGGTTCACCTATTTTCTGTTAATGAACATGTGAGGTTGTTTTCACATTAAGGCTGCTTCAAATAAATTTTCTTTATCCTTCTTTTCCTTGTCTTCTTGGTGCACATGTATTCTTATTCATCTGTTTTTCAAGGAAGAAAACACCATTTGGGCCAATTAAGACACAATAACATCAATATGTTGGAGGACAAGGTGTTTATGAGCAGCTCCTTCTCTTGTGAGAGTTGTATAAGCTGTGGGTCTCATAAGAAAAGGAACTTGGGGACAGCCATGTCCTTTCATGTTCTTTCACTGCAGTTTAAAGTCTGGGCCTATTTAGAAGTCAGTGGAGGGGAGGAGAGAAGAAAGGCTGGGCTGCTGGGTAGGGTCGGTACCTTAATCCACCTCTCCAGTCGCTTCTCAGGAGTCTCCAGGAAGAGATGATAAAGGAAAGAGAACTGGAAGTAGCCAGCTCTCCAAAGAGGTACAAGGACAGACATTTAGCTGGAAGGGAGTGAGGTCTGAAAACTCTGCACCTTCTCTGGTTAGTTGGAAACAACTGGGAGGTACATCTCCCAGTCCTTGTCCAAGAGGTAAGGATCTCCTCAGGCACCTATCAGTATGTTTCTGAAAGTGGAGTTTCACAGAGGGTGGGAGTGAGATGGCACCGCCCCGCCTGGACTCGCGGTCTAGCGCCCTCTGTCACCCTAGGCCTTGAGGCGCAAGGGGGTAGGGTGGGGACCCTGGAAGAGCAGCCAGGCCAGGTGCACCAGGGGTTGGGCAGGAGCCCGGAAGGTGCGCTGCCCCGCCCCAAGCCCCCCCTTTCCCGCGCCTCCTGCGTGAAAGTGAAAGTTCCAGGGCCCCCGCGAAGGTCAAGGATTGGGGGGGCGGGGCCGGCGCGGACGTGGGAGCCGGCGCCGGGCACTGGAGGGGCCATGGATGGGCTCGGCCGCCGCCTCCGAGCCAGCCTGAGACTGAAGCGCGGCCACGGGGGTTAGTGCGGGCCACCGCGCGCGGGGGAGAGGGCGTGGGGACCTGGGCGCCAGGACTGTAGGCTCAGTGCGGCACTGGGGGCAAGGTCGAGGAGCCGTTTGGGCGGATCTGGGAGAGCTGGGCAGGAGGCAGGTGAGCTCAAGGAAGCAGGTATTGATCAGCAAGTGGACTGACCTGCTGGGTCCGAGAAGAAGCCTGGTGACCAGAAACCTGCAACGGTTGCGGGGTTCTGGGTCGTGGGCCACGTGTCCTTCCATCCAGGAAGCTTGTGGTGCAGCCACTTTATGGCTAAAGAGTTTGGGTTGCCAAGCCGTCCGGGAGGCGCTTCGCTTCCCTACTTAGCTAGCTGCCTAGGACCGGACTGGCGTTTGTTCAGTTCCTCGGAGCCAGCTTGTCCTTGCCGATAACCGCGCCACAAAAACTGGTCTCCCCAATACCTCAGCACTGGCCAAGGCGGGGTGTGTGTGTTGGGGGGAGCAGGTAGACCAGCCCAGCTGTCTTCTCAATCCTGACCTTGAGTCTTGACCTGTGAGATGGGAATCTTTTCCCTGTTCCGGGTGGATGGTAGGGGTGAAATGAGACGTCTCATCGAGTTTCCTTTCTTCGTATCTGGAGCACTGGAATTTGGAAGAAAGGCGATTAGGATTTATTAATGTGTCCATTCATTCAACAAACATCTGTTGCTGTTTATGTCTGGCCAGGGCTATGCCTGAGCTGCCACCCCTGAGTCTGCACAGAGCCCATGCTTCTGAAAAGAGGACTGAAAGGTTATTAAGGGTCATCCCCAGAGAGCTCACCCCTTCCAGTATTTGCAAGTGAAGAGGTCAGTGGGCCCCTCTCCTAATAGGCCCCAGAGTTGGAGAGCCCCAGAGTTGAGATCAGTGCTTCCTTCTCGGAACTACAGTGACTTGTGACTGCTCTGCTCTTAGTCCTTTCTCACTTCTGCCACCCTCCCGCTGGCTCCAGCTGGGGTGCTCCAGCTGTGGTTGTCCTTGCATGTGCCCCTTCCATCTGCATGCAAGCGGCGGTGGCGGGGAGGGTGGGGTGGAGTGGGGGTGGTTGGGGGTGTCTGCAATCGCTGGAGCAGTATGTAGGGAGGAGATGTGTCTTGTCTTTTCTTTTTCCTGGCTTAGTTTTGGTTTTCTTGGGCTTCCTAGATCTGGGTAATCTGCTGAATGGCTGAAATCTGCTTCCCGGGCCTCAAGAGGACACATTTCTTACCCTTTACAGCAGCATAAAGGTTGCAATGGTGTTTGGAGGGACTTCCTTGTGGTTGAGGAACAGGAAGGCAGGCCCATATGTGCCTGTTCACAAGTTTAGCACCTGTCAGGTCATATGGGTGTGGCTTTTTCATCTTTCTTGCTATCCTCCTGCTTCCTGGGGGATTTCCCCTTCAGGCTCAGGCAAGAGGGGGGCTGTGTGTGTGTGTGTGTGTGTGTGTGTGTGTGTGTGTGTGTGTGTGTGTGTGTGTGAAAAACACTGGTAGGGAAGGCTGCTGCTGTAGTTCTGGGTTGCTAGCACTAGCAGCTCAGCAAAGAACAAACAACAACTTTTCAGATCAAGGTTCCCCAAAGTCCCCTCTTTCCATCAGGTGCCTGTGGGAGGGACTTCCTGGTGGAGGAAGGAGTAGAACCAGACTCTTGACTTCCCTAGAAGGGTGGCTCCTTCCTCAATTAAAAATGAGGATAAATCCATTCCAGGGCATTAGGGATTAAGTGAGATGCCTTATAGTATGCAGGAATTTGATGCAGATTAGTTCTTCTCAGGCTTTTCAGTGATAACCCCTTTTGAAAGGGCGAGAGGGAGAAGGCACTCTTTTGTTGAATCTCTTGAGCCTCAGCCTGAAAAATCTAGTTCCTTTGCTTTGGTCTAGGTTTTCTGACTCTGCGGCTCCCTTATTTTTCCTGATAAAGCAGGAGGAAATGGTGTGAAAATGCTGCCCCAAGGATTTAGGAAAAGACTTATTTCCTGAGGTTCTGGAATGATCGGGAAGACGATTCTGGCTCTGCAAGCCATTTGCTTACTGCCCCACCCCCAACACACACACACACACACACACACACACACACACACACACACACACACACCATGGGATGCTGACTATGTAATACACCAGAGGCCTGAGCCTGGATTGAAACCCTTATAATGCCCATCTTCTATAGATCCTGTTCATTTTAAATCACCTGAGTAATTAATGCCTCAGTTTCCACTTCTGTATCAGGCAGGTACAGATTGTGTAAGGTGTCTATACAGGGTACAAGAAAGACACAAAGACTGCCTGGGGTGTCCTGCTTCATCCCTCTCACTGATCCAGCTCTCATCCTATTTATGATGACTGGCGCTTCCCCAACAAGTCAGCTTTGGACCTCTGAGTCCCCACTTTTACCGGTGCCACAAAGGCCCATTTTTAGAGCTCTTAGGAGCAGAGTGACAGCCTTCCTACCATAGCAACACACTCCCTCCCAGAGGGCTGCTAATTCTTTGCAGGAGTGGCAGACACAGGCACCAGATCTTTTTGCTTCCTCCCTCCCCATTAAGCAACTTCCTGGCAAAGGCTCTTCTTCCCTCTCATCCCATGCATTTCCTTATTCAGGACTTTCTGTGAGAAACCTGGCTTATCAATGACTACTTTCCTGCTCTTCCTCAACCTCCAGACACAGCACTGGGTCTGCAGCTTAGGATGTTGACCTGGCCCAGCCAGGAGAAAGGCTGAGCAGGAGCTGTGGAGGGTTGAAGATGCTCTGTATCCCGACTGATGCTGACGCAACCAGTCCCCTACTCTAGGCTAGGGACAATTTCCTGAGTCAGTGCTTCCTTTAGAAAGAGGGAATCTGCTGGAGCCCTGGAACAGTCCCAGGGAAAGAGCTCTCTGCCTAGGACATGTTTCGGGGGAAGGGCATTGCCTTTATAGTTATTCTATCACTATCAGGAACTCTCAGAGATGGACTTTGTTCTTTACTCCACCATCAGGAGAGGATCCATGGGGGTCTGTCAAGAGACTCCCTCTCTTGCTAGAAGTTATTTAGCGAATCATTGGGCAAGTCTACTTATCTGAATCAGGACAAGGCAGTGGCATCTTGGCTGCAGGAAGTGTCCAGTCCTGTGTTCTTGGTTGAGATCCTGAAGTCCTGTGTTTTAGAATTCGCGGTTGGTCTGGTAGGACTTTGCAGCTTCTGATGAGCAACTTGAGAAGCAAATGGAGGGCAATCAAAGATATGGGATGTAAAATACCTATGCTTAGATCCAGGAGGTGCTGTAGTCCCTGGTCCGATTTTTCCAGTCATCTCTCACTGCCGGAGGTTGTAAATAAACTCACCACATGGTCTGCGGCACCGGAATTCAAAGCCCTTAGTCCAGAAGCAGCTGTGCCTTGAGATGTTTGCTCATGACCTTTTCTCTTACCACACCCTGGGGCTCTTGGGAGGAGCCAAGAGCTGAGCTGTAGTGCCAGGATGCTACCTCTGTCAGTGCCCACGTTAAGCTGCCTCGTGGGTCCTTTCACATCCTTCTTGCTCAACGACGGAGTACACAGGATGGAAACTGCTCTCTGCCTTTGGGAGACAGCACATGGTTCAGCTTAATAAAGCTGTGACTGGAGACCAAAGCCGAAGGCACTTTCTCAGGCTTTCTGTGGCCAGCCTGCAGGAGAAAGAACATTCATGCCCCCAAAGCCCAGAACGATGGAAGGACAAGGGGTAGGCCGAACCCTCAGGCTGCTCCGAAATCGCTTACCACGACTTGGAGCAGGTCAGAACTGGATTGCCTACTTCCTTTTTGGGGTGATCCTCTCATGGGCTGTTTCCTCCTGGAGTGCTTGCTCCTCCTTCTTTTTCCTTTACATGCTGAAATCCACATGGCCCCCATGTGATCAGGCCAGGAGGATTGTCTTATCAGTTGGCAGAGCTAGCTGGTCAAGTCTCTGGTGGAGCTCTTGGTATGGTCATAAGAAAATGCCCTATGGGCTCATCTGGTTGTTTAGTACAAATTTGCTCCGGGCACATGAAATACGGCTACCGAAGGCAGGCCGTACAGTGTCAGGCATCAGGCCTCCAAGAGCCTACGCAGCCTGGCTCCTCAGTTTCTATATCAGTGCTTTTTTTTCCCTCCCTGTGTTACTCTGCAGTTTCAAGTTTCCCAGGACAGGTATGGAAACTGCCCACTTGGCTCTGGTCCTGCCCAGTGACTGGTGGTGCCTGGTCAGGCTTGTGTATCAGCACTGGCCATGTGGCCTTGAGGCATGCAAGTTGCCCAGGTTCTCACACACAGTACAGAATGGAGGAATGGAATACTCAAGGGCCCCTTGCATCTCCATTTTAGGACCTTCCCAGAGCGCTCGTGGGGAAGCTGTCCCAGAACCAGAAAGGACCCAGGAACATTCCCTGTCTAGCTTTGCTGGAGGCCAGCACTTCTTTGAATACCTTCTTGTTGTTTCTTTAAAGAAAAAGCGTTCAGGGGATGACTATGAACCCACGATCACCTACCAGTTTCCCAAGGTAAGGATGGAGGAGGGGTGGGGCCTGAGGACGGAGCGGGGAGGACAGAGGTGTGTTTAAAAGGTGGTGGAGTTCTACTCCCTACCACCCTGCCAAGTCTTGAGCTCTGAGTTCACTGCTCTCATTTCCTTTCTCGCCCAGCCCTAGCTTTCTGTTATCACCCAGAGAATCTAGGTCTGACTGCTTTGTGGTGATGGACCCAACTGAACCTCTGGAGCAGGGAAACCAGCCTCGTGCTCTTACCCCTTTGGAAACCTTCTAGTTTTTCCAAATTCCACCTCAGTCACCTTTTCCTACAGAAAAGCTCAGCTTCTGCCGGAACTCCTAAGAAGGAATGCCCTTCCTGGTTCTGTGGTAGAAAATCAAGCAGACCCAAGACGCAAACACAGGCTGAGATCAGACTCCCAATGTATTAGCGCCCTCCTTGTCTGGTTATGCACTGGGTGAGGTGCAGTGCACTACACTCATCAACCCCTCTTGTTAGCAGCTCAGCGACTGGATAGGTTGCTTGTTTTCTCTGATGTGGCATCTCTCTGATGTCACCCTCTCAGGGTCCAGCTGACCTGTCTAACCTCCTTTTTGAATATGTAAATCCTCAGGATACTGAATTCCAGGCCAAGGTTATGTTGATGTGGCCTAGAACAAATTGTTCTCTCTTTGGGGTCATTCCAGCTAGACCTAGAATGCAGACGATGTGGTACCAGGCAAAGGCACCTTTGTACCCCATGCTAGGAAAGAAGGCTGATAGCCTTCTGAACCCTGCCTCTCTGCCTAAATCCCCTTGCCTTTGCCTTACAGAGGGAGAACCTGCTCCGGGGCCAGCAGGAGGAGGAGGAACGTCTGCTCAAAGCCATTCCTTTGTTCTGCTTCCCTGATGGGAATGAGTGGGCACCACTCACAGATTATCCCAGGTAACCACTCTGCCTGGGGGCAAGGGTATCAGATTTGGATGAAAGGACAAATGTGTGGCCCTTGTGGTCCCCTCACCAGTTGAGAATGCTGAGTTTTTGCCAGGAAAAATTTTTCCTAGGGTCCTTTATGCCAAAGATCTTAGTGGTGACTTGACCTCTGTCCAAAGATGCTTAAGAGTCTCTAACCTGTCCTAGAAGAAGTAGTCACAATTTTTTGATTCTGCCACTGGCAGAAGCTGGACTGGAGAGGAAGTCTTTGGGCTCTAAGAAGACAATATCATAAAAGCTTCTTACATCATGAACACTGGAAATTGACTGTGACTTCAAATTTTAGATAAAAAAAATACCTTCTGTAAGCCTTACTTACTTCATCTTTAAAGTGCTAATACTAATTGAACTTCCTTCAGAAGGTTATTTTGCGTCTCAGAGGAGGTGATGTATTTGGGCTTGGCACCACTGAGTGCTTAATAAGTGACTGTGGTGATTATCCTCATGATTAATCAGCAGCGCCCCTTTGTCCTCCTCTCCACCTCTCTGATGCTGACTTCAGTCTTGTTTTAGAAATCCAGTGAGCAGATGCACATCATCGGTTTGCTCTCTCTTAGGGAGACCTTCTCGTTTGTCCTGACCAACGTGGATGGAAGCAGGAAGATTGGATACTGCAGGCGCCTTCTGGTTGGTGCTACTCAGAACCGCCCCTTCCTCTCTGCAGACTGTTCAGTTCCACAGCTGGGCTTGCTGAAGCCTCGGCTACCAAAGCTCAGGCTCGGTGGCAGAGGTGGTTATAGGGAGAGTACAGCCCATCTCATGCTGCCATGTTAGTGTCCCTTCTGGAATCCCACAAGGGCAAGGACGTACTGTGTGTC